ACACCTCAGGACCCTCAACATCTGGCAACACGCAGGATTCTGATGACAGCGACTCAGAGGTGGAGTTTAGACCTTCCCACAAGGTACGCCTATGGCCCTATGATTTCTGCGATGCGGAAAACACGGAAGGAATTGCGGAATCCAGTCAACGGTATTTACTATATAACGCGGAATGTCATGGAATTTGTCAAAGTTTGGATGAATTAATCAAAGGAAGGTCATTACACTTAAATCGTGATATGGACTAGTATCTGTAAATATTAAGCCGCAAAAAGGCTATGGAAGAGGGGAGACAGACAACACACACACAGCTTAGCGTACAGACAGTTTCATTTCGCTCCCATCGAGTTAAAAACACAAATAAATTGCAGTCTCATGAATAATTTAATAGACACCAACGCTTCATCGATGTACTATTAGTCCATTGCCACGTCACAAATTGTGACGTCATCAACACGATGTAGATTTTAAACCCGGAAGATGAAAATAGCGCAAAAAAGCTTAAAATTAACCAGTTTTCTCCAACAGTTAAAATGATCGGATGCTAACATTGTCTTCTATGATGTGCAACACAAACACCTCTGCTAAAATCTCAGAAAAAGTAGTCTGGGGTTTCATGACCCTTTAAAAAAATCCTACTCACCACAAACTCTTGAATCTTTTTCTCACCGACCTCAATAAAATGTGCAAAGGATACATAACAGCTACTTTTGAATTTGACCAGAATGTAGTATTTTAGAAGACACATTCAAGGTAAAAATGGCTGCAATTATGTTACAAATAAGGTGGATAGACTGCGTTGTTTTGCTTCTCCACTGCAAACCAAACTGATCTGCAACCAATAAAGAAAACAGCAAAAAAAAAAATATTTTACATATCTTACTAAATGTGACCCTGGAGCACAAAAGCAGTCTTAAGTCACTGGGGTATATTTGTAGCAATAGCCAAAAATACATTGTATGGGTCAAAATTATTGAATTTTCTTTTATGCCAAAAATCATTATTTTGTAAATTTCCTACCGTAAATATATAAAAAATGTATTATCATTAGTAATATGCATTGCTAAGGACTTCATTTGGACAACTTTAAAGGCGATTTTCTCAATATTTTGATGATCTATAAATCTCAATTTCAAAAAATTGCCTCTTATGACTGGTTTTGCGGTCCAGGTTTACAAAAAGTACAAGTGTAGTTAGTACAAACAGTATTTCTGAAAACGTCCTACCCTCGCACACATGTAACATGATCAGAAACAAACATGTCTGGCCAGAGCCCTGCAGCAAATCATATTTCACTCATCAGCCTTTGGGTTTGACATTTTAGTAGATCCCTAATCAGTCAAAGTTCTCCAGTGTTTTTCAAACGGTTATAAATCACACACTGCTGCTCTGAACACACCTATGGTGAAACCTGTGAATAGATGTAGTGTGAAGCTGTGCTAAAATAACTGCTCTCAGAAGGAATTTTGCACTATTCACGTTTCATTTTGCTCCGGCATTTTGCCAGCGTAACCATCAATGCTCTAGATTTCTGCTACGGCCAGCCTTAATATCACATATGGTTACAATTTCACTGCAGTTTGGATTGAGCAAGGAATTTTCTCTCAAGCTAATGTTTGAGAACTCGAGCCTAACAAGACTCAGATTTACTTCCTACTTTTTTTGTTGAAAATATAAGAGAAAAAAAATATGCAAAGCATTCTTTCCCTAATGGCTGTTTCTTTGTAACCTGTTCAAAGTTTACAAGTTGTGCATAGAAGTTTGTCCTCTCAAGAAACGCTTGAACATTGTGACGCACCTCACACATACTTCAGTGTGAAAGACAATGAGCCTGTCAACTGTAAGCAACACAACTGGAGATTTGTGCTTCTCATGCTCATCTGTAACCATTTATGCAGACAAAAACAATACTCTGCCTTTATCAAATGTCCACATGGGGTTTTACAACTTCTCAATGCTCTTCTACTTAGATAACATCTTTCTTTAATGACTAACCACAAATTATCCTCGCCACGCAACTTCAAAGAACCTGTGCATTGCACAAGGGGAAAAACGATGAGGAGCACAACATAGTATGTTCTCCTTACATTTAAAGATTTTCTCATGAAGGCAGGAACCATTTTAGCCTGTTTAACACTTGGACAAACATTGTACGATGCCCTCCTTATGCTTTTCAGTCTTCATTTATTTCTCACACATACGCCGTGTAACATGGATTTGTTTATTCAATAGTAAACTCACCGCTCCTGCAAAAGTGATGTAAAATCGGACAAATGTCAAACATAAATGATGACAGAAGACTCATCTGAAATGCATGTTAATATAGCTGTAAACTGGGTCTTATTGACCCTCATGTGTTTCCAAACCCGTATGAGTTTAGCAGATTGTCTCATGTGTTCATCTTAATACAATAAACAGGGACAGATACTGTAGAGCTCCAAAAATGACAAAAAGGCATCAAAAACGTGATCCGTTTGACTGAGTACACTATAATTGATCATGGCCTGTTCCTCCTATTCTTTCAGAAGACTTGACACATACTTTTATTTTTATTTTTTTAGCATTCCTGGAACTCGTCAATGTCCAACGCCATTTACTTCATTGTATGGAAAAAAACATGTTGGACATTTTTCAAAATCGTCTTTTGTGTTCCATGAACAAAAGAAAGTCATTCCGGTTTGGAATATGAGTGCAAAAAGTCTTCCAATAACACGAACCTGAACTTAACTTAGGGTGCGGTCACATTAGTGAGATTTTGGTAAAACTTCACAGGGGAAAAAGGCCATTGTGAATAGTCTAGCAATATATTATGAAGTAGAGCTTACACAGAAGTCACTATTCATAGTTTTCAGTCACGTGACTGGCTCGAAAACCTGGCGGGCAAAACATCCACAACATAGAACTGCAGCACAAGCCTGTCAATTTTCCATTTGTTTCCAATCCACAAATATTTAGATCACCTCTCAAAAGAATAAAACAAAGATATGTGAACAAAATGCAAGTTTTGGCCATTAGCAATCCATATATAGCACCCATCGCATTATTTCAATCGCTAAAAACAGCGGGACATTCTAAAACGTTTAATGTGAAAACACTTAAAGTGCCTTAAAACAGTGATATTATCTAAAGTGATATTATCTTATATAAAAGATCAAATTCAGTACACACCTTATTGATGATGCATGCTTTATACAGGCAAGCAGATGAGCCCAGAATATGAACGCAATGCGCTAAATGGTTGTGTTTTCTTTATAATGGTTTTCTATGGGAAAACATTTAATATTAAACTTGGCGCATTGCGTTTATATTCTGGGTTCATCTGCTTGCCTATACAAAGTCTGCATCATCAGTAAGGTGTGTACTGAATTTGGGCTTTAAATATCACTGTTACTACATTACTACTTAATGCAAACCTCCTAAAAATGACTGGCGGTCAGCGGAGGAAAGCCTTGTTTTGCCCTCCATGTTGGCGTTCCTGTAAGGGTGTGACGTCACGTGAAAACTATTGGTTTATTTCATTCACCCTTCGCCGGGAGTTTGATTGACAGGCGATCTGACCAATCCTAACGCCGAATCTGCCATTTTGTCTTACAAACAAACCAGACAGGAGAGTAGATTAACGTCGGTGGAGCTGAACTTGAAAAATTATGTGCTTTGACGTCTTTCCGCGGTTGAATCAAGATTCCTTCTGATGTTCATTCATGTTTATTTCATGCTATAACTAGTAAAGAGGAAGAGCTGATCTGTTCACGTTCTGCTTGAACTGAGGCACTACAGCGATCGGTCACGGCACATTAAAGAGCCACAAAACAGTATTTATTGTTTGAATTTCTTAAAAAATTACAAAATTTGAAAGTTAAGACTTTCTTTCATACCAAAAGTAACCTGCTCTGTCTTGTCTGTCGGTGTGTTGTCAGTGTCCTCTTTGCTCTGCGATGTATTTTTCACAGCGTGAGAACATGATGTGTGACGTTAGAGTGCCATGGCTTGTCGGACATAGCAACAGTAACTAAGCGGGGCGGGTCTTTGCAAAGGTTCAATTCAGTCAACTTGAACCAATCTTTCACCCTCACACAAAATTTCAGATTCTGTGAATTTTAATTGAAACGACTGGATCCGCCCACAAAAATTCAGAGATGTGACCACACCGTTATAGCACTGCTCTACAGGATGACAGTATGTCAGTATGCAGGAATGAAGGCTGAATCCTATTAACATGAGCTCTGCCCTGAAATCATCCCCACAGACATTGCAGAACCATTTATTTAACCTGGACAAGGAAACTGGAAACATTAGGACCTGCCACAAAACTTCCCCAACCGAAGGCGCCTGCCAGCTCTCTCTTCGGTTCTTAGGGAAGTTAAGTCAGATATACTGCTTCAAGCCAGGATACAGTTCTGTGTTTTTGTTCTTTTTTGGAAAAGCAGGTCCTGCTTTATTTCCACGGATCAACCAAAGTTTTATGTCGCAGTAGCAACAGTTCAGAACTGAGTGAATCGAAAGAGAGTAAGAGAGAGTAAGAATATGTAGTTGACACTTTTTAGATTTGACCACATTTAGATAATAAGACGACAGTCAGCAAAGAGCTTTACACTAAACAAAACAATCAGATAATCTTCTGAAGCTACAGTTCACACGATATCCGATCAGACGCCATGTAAGCGGACAGATTGGATATTCCCCTGTCAATGCGAGTCGTACATCACTGAAAAAGCGACAGTGGTCATTGACATCGAATCAGGTGGATGCTTTTCCAGGTCAGGATGCAGTGTTGCCAAGTCTGCGGTTTTTCCTGCGGAATCGGGCTACCTTTACACTGTAAAGGCCCGGGGGTTAAAGCGATCTCTCCACCTCACTATTTTGATTAGAGGTGGACCCCTGCCGGAGGGGAAAAGCGCAGAAAAAACGCGATTGGGCTAGTTTTGAATGGCAATTGGGCTGGTTTTGTTTCACAGACCTAGCAACCCATCAATACGTCTACCCTGGGTCGTTTCGCCAAGTGTATTTTGTAAATGCAGATACTGGATATGGGTCGCTTTTAAAAGATGTAAGCTGGTCGTACAAAATAAAAAAAAATCAGATATAGTCAACAAATTGGAATTGGGCATCAAGAACTGCAGTGTAAATGCGGCCAAAATGCTTTCATTTCCACAGATCAACCAAAGTTTTATGTTGCGGTAGCAACAGTTCAGGACTGAGTAAACAGAAAGAGAGCAAGAGAAAGTGTAAGAATATGTAGTTGACACTTGTGTAGATTTACCATTTTACCACATTTAATTATAGGATGACAGCCAGCAAAAAGCGGAACACTAGAAATTTGTCAAAACAATTAGATAATCTTCTAAAGCTATAGTTCACACAATAACAAAAAGATCTGGGCATTTTAAGCAGCAATGTGGTGATTCGGCTCTTTAAACAATGTGATCCAACTCAAAGGTCTGCCAACATCTGACTCTTTTCGAGAAGAATTGTTCAAATGCAGGGCCATTTGTGAGTGAGTATTTTTGAGTTCAGTGGGTTGGAATAAACAATTTACTGCGTGGAAATGAAACATTTTACAGAAACAAACACAAACAGCAGAGAAATGTGAACACACACAGAGACAAACTGACGAAAGCAGTACTTACGAGTCTTCTCCTCCATGGGCTGGCAACTGTCCTGTAAAACACAGATAGGAGGAATTACAGACAAGCGTCTTAACATGATCTTCCCGTTGGGAGCAGCTGTTTTCACAAACCCTAATTTGCCGTTTCAGTGCAAGGGAAGCTGCAATGTTATTACACCAAAATGACTTTTCAGAGAAGCAAGAGGCACGGTGCAAGCAAGCTCCTAAACCTGTCAAAAGCATAATTGTATTTCACATCGGACACGCTCCTTGTGGAGAATTTACCGTGCACACATAAAAGGGATTTTTTTTCCCCCAAAAGGAAACAGTGAGAAGTTGTTTCTTAGTACAGTCCTAATGCAGGAACACTGAGATTTATGCCACTGCTTTCCTATAAATATACAAGGACGCCAGAGTGAGATTTGGCGCATATGGTTGTAAAACAGTGCTGCTTTAGTCCGTGTGTAAATCAATAGACTCCCCAAATAAGTGAAAATTGGCGCACAGGAAAGAAAACACATGAGCTATGATAGAGAGAGAACGCATTGATTGTAGTCCCGAATGTGAGCAACTAAAATGTTACAAAAGTCTGAGAGGAGTTTATATTGGGATACCACAGAGGTACATTTAATTGAGCTGGGTTTCATGTGACAGCAATCATTTCCAAAAATGACTATGCATTAAAAGCACAAACTTGGTCATCAAATCTCTGGCCTGACTGAAATGAATGGAAATTTGTGCCTTCTTCCCATGGAGTGCAACAGCAGGGTTCTGGATGTAAAAATCCCATTCGTTTTCTCCACAGAGAAATTGTTTTTTAACGACACTGTATAAACCTTTCAAGAGAGACCTACAAATCTGAAGAATGAGATATGCTCAAGCCATAAGTAAATGTAATTTCAATATAACTTTTCATTTTTAATAGCTAAATTCCTGAAGAACTACACTACCCATAATTCTAAAGAAAGCTCAGCCAATCAGAAAAGCCACTGGGCAGAGAAAGTAAAAGACTGTATATTGTACAATTTAGAATAACTGTTTTCTATGTGAATCTATGTTAAAATATAATTTATTGCTGTGATGCAAAGCTGTATTTTCAGCATCATTACTCCAGTCTTCAGTGTCACATGATCTTCAGAAATCACTCTAATATGCTGATTTGCTGCTCAAGAAACATTTCTGATTATTATCAGTGTTGTGCTGCTTAACTTTTGTGTCAACCGTGATGCATTTTTTCTTCTTCGATTTTTTTGATAATTAAAAAGTTCAAAAGAACAGCATTAATTTGAAATAATAATCTTTTGTAATATTATAAATGTATTTGATCAATTAAATTGGTCTCTGTAGCGTATATACAATAGAAGTATACAAATATATTTGTATATATTTACAAATTTTGCAAAACGTTTTTTTCAAAGAATGCAAGTCATTCATTTTATTTGATCACATCCAGTAGTTCATTTCCCCTTAAATAAAATGTTAAATACACAATCTTATTTTGACCTTGTCTTTTTTCAAATTTTAATATAATATTTTGCTTTAAATATAACGTTGGTTTGGACCATAGTTTAAAAGTCTTCAATGAAGAATTAAAATGCGATGTAAAAGCAATCATTTACCTCCAGTCCCCAGTCGCACATAGAGCACTCCAGTAGCCGAAATGACTTTGATGGAGTTTGAAGCCACACACTGGTAGTATCCGGTGTCGGTGGTGTCCAGGTCTTGAATGCGGAGCTTGGATCCAGCCTCTGTCTTGCGGATGGAGACTCGGCCCTGCTCCTGCACCACCGGGGCGTCGTTCTTAAGCCAGCGGATGCTGGGCCGCGGGTGGCCTGCCACTTTGCAGTGTAAAGTGGCCGTCTGGCCCTGCACTATAGTTATATTGTTTGGCGGCTCCACAAACTCCAGGAAATAACCTGAGGGAAAAGGGCAAGGAAGGCTGTTAGAGGGGTCAAAGGTGAGGACCCTGAGCATCAATGCAGGCTTGAGAAGAAATCAACCCCCCATCCTCGCTGACAGGGCTGTGACGGATAATACTACCTTGAGACACTGAAACCATTTAAAAGCTTTACTGATGTGTGTGGTTCTGCACACAGACCCACTGTGAACAAATGACATATCAATTTTATGTCATGCATTCACACACTAAAGCTGAACATTTTAGAATGGATTAAAACTAGAGCAATTATTTGAAAAAGAATCATGACAGCTTAGTGCGATTAACAAATGAAAAGGCTGTGATCAATTAAATAAATACATTTGCAATGTGTTTTCAGAGTGAAGTGTGGTAGAGTTCATTTACAAGTGAACAGCTCACGATGACAGTGATTTTGAGGGTCTCAGAACAGCGGAGTTCACAGAAAACACTGCTCTCAGTTTGCTGTAAAAACACTCTATCACTGAATCATTCACTCAACCAAATTGTCCAAGTCACTGAATCATTTAAGGTTCTCATATGTGGATTTTGAAACGGGGAAACTACAGCAAATATTTTACATTTCAAATTACTGTAATGGCAAAAGAAAAGTCTGAAAGATGGAAAAAGTATAGAGAGACTGATTACTGCAATCAGCCGATGTATTATAAACACCCTCCAGGCAATGTTAACTAGTTTATTTTTTTTATCTAATGCCAAGGTAATATAACAGTAGTAATGTAATAGTATACTGGCAGAGATAAGTACACTGTAAAAAAATGAGTGTAATTTTAACTGTAAAATATTGTGAAAACACTACAGGAAAAAAAACTGTTAATAGGTTAACAGTAAGTTCCTATACACAGGGAAAAACTGTAAAAGATCTAGCCAGACATTTCATGTAATTTTACAGTAAAATGCTGTTAATTGTACAATTTTTAGAAGTAAAAAAAGAACAAATCAAATGTATAATTTACAGTAAAACTGTAAACTGATATTCCCAGAATTCACTGCGTGACACTCCACATTTGAAAGTATTTTGTTTAAATAATCATGTTTCTTAATAGTTTTGTCATGTTTGTTATCAGTTATGTACACGTGGGTTTATGCTACATCTTCTGTAGTTGAATGAATGAGTGTCATGTGTGTTACCATAATGGTGTTTAGTGTTTGCGTGAATGACTCTGTGCACCTTCTATATATTATTATATACTTCAGCTTGTGGAAAAGCTACTTGTGACAAACTGATATTGCTTTCATTTTACCACCTGCATTATTATGGTGGTTGTCAATTACAAAACTTATTTTAGATTATTTTAGTAGCAGTGTGCAATGTTGAATTTACTAGATCAAATTTTATGTTTGTAAATTACAGTTTTATACTGTAAAATATACAGTTTGTTCTGTAAATGTTTTTACAGTTTTTCTGTATTTTTTACAAAATTATTCTGGCAACCACAGCTGCCAAAATTATTTTGTAAAAACTACAGATTTAT